GGCGGCGGCGTCCGAGGCGGCGAAGGCGGAGCGGGCGAGCGGCGTCGGGGAGGAGAAGGGCGCGGGCGGCGCGGCATCTGCGGGCCGCGGGGGCCCCGGCTGGGCCGCACGGGCCTCGGGCGGTGGCGGCTTGCCACGTGGCAGGCGGCTAAAGGCCGCGGGCAGCGGCGGACGAAATGTCCAGCGTGGCGGACATGTCCGGTGCGCGCGAGGTGGATTTTTTAGGGTTTCGGGGGAGAAAGAGATCCGAATTTGGAGGGGTCTTTCAATAGGCATAGAGGGAGCTAGGAGAGTCCAAATGAGGTGCGGTTTTTGGCCACGCAATCGTGATTGAACGACCTAGATGATGGAGAAGGCTTAGGTGGGTTTTGGGCCAAATTGGAGGAGTGTTGGGCTGAAACACACACGAAGCCTTTTCGGTCCCTCGGTTAACCGTTGGAGTATCAAACGAAGTCCAAATGATACGAAACTTGATAGGCAGTCTACCGGTAGTAAACCAAGGCCGCTTGGCAAGTCTCGGTCCAATCCAGGAATGTTTAATCCCCACACACGAAAGAAAGGTAGAAATGGCCACCGGAGGAGAACGAAGCGCCGGAATGCAAAACGGACAACGCGGAAAAGGCTCGGATGCATGAGACGAACACGTATGCAAATGCAATGCACATGATGACATGATATGAGATGCATGACAACGATAACAACACACGGAGACAAGGACCCGAACCCGAGGAAATAAATTAACTTAACGCCAGAAACGGCAAGAGTTGGAGTACAAATTGGGAAAGTTACATCCGGGGTGTTACACCTTTCTACGAGAATAAGTAATATGACAATTCCGTTGCTTGTCATCAATTTAATTGATGAAGGATTTGCATAATGTAATTCTTATTCTTGTTTCACCCAAGTTATTAATTCCTTCTTCGGAGTTTGTTCATGATGAATAAATTCTCGGTTTCAATTGCTTCTTCATTTTCTTTTCCCGAAGTTCCAAACTCTCTCAATTATATCGTCGTGAAGATCCATCTAAATTATTACAAGGTTTCAATTGCTTTTATTTTTTTATCATCATTTTGTTATCAGAGTTCTTCATGGTGGCTCATCAAGGATTTCTTTCATTCTTCATTTGTTCTTCAAGATTTCTCTCGGAATTAAGTTCCGCCTAGCTATACTCTAAAAATAAATATGATGTTCAACACATGTTTTGTTCTAAGGAGCTCAAGTATTCTTCATGATTCAATAGTTGTCAAGAATGAGATAGTTAAACCCATCAATTTCTTCGAGCATGATCTATTCTCAATCCATCAACCTCTTCATTGGAATTATCTTGGGTTATATTTCACCTAAAGTTTTCTCTAAGGATGTTTGCTATTTATGGTGCTTATAAATGACCCAAGTTCTTCATTTATCCTTCCGGTGAAATAAGCTTCTCATCTCCTTGTTGATGTCAATTCAATCTATTGTTTCCGTTAGTGGCAGAATTTCACCTCATAATTTTGGGATGTTTTCCATAAGCCCACTACAAGTTTTTTCGTTTCGTTGGTGATTTTCCAACAACTCCGTTATAACCTTCTTGGAAGGGTGTTTTCCAAGCTCATTTGTGGCAGAAGTTGTCATTTTCTTCTCAATTCTTTCCTTTCCAACGATTCAACTTCTATTCTTTCGTTCCGGAGGCATAGCGATGTTGCTCTCTTCACTCATCATCCCTTTTTTTGTCAAAGATCGTGTTCTTTCCTTTTTGCTTATACATTCAACCGGAGTGTCGTGTCCTTCATTCAAGTTCTCTCATCTTATCAAGTTTTGCCTCCCTTCTCAACCGGAGTGCCGTCTGAAATCTTTCTTACCCTTGTGACATTCTTTCAATAGTTCCGGAGGCAGTGTGTTGTTGATCTCATCAAGTATCCTCTCATCTTGTCAAGTTCATGTTGAAATTCCTTCCATTTGCAGTCGGAGTGCTATCCAAATTATATCATTCTTATTCCTTCTCTATCTTGTTTTAACCGGAGTGTTGTGTCTATTATTCCTCTTCTAACCGGAGTGATTGCATGTACTTCTTGGCCATTGCAACCCTTTTTTCTTATGTCTTTCAACCTACAAGGTTCTAGTAAATGTTCCTTGTTCCTTTTTTTCTAACGGAGTGTTTTCAACTTTGTTCATCTTCATATTATTCTTTCTTTCAATTTGTTCAACCTCGCAAGGTTCTTTGGTTCCACTCATTTGTCAAAGAAGCAACGCAGTTTTACCTCTTCTCTTCCTCTTCTGTTTCCCTCTGGTGCCATCCGTAGATCTCGGGACGAGATCCTCTTGTAGTGGTGGAGTTTTGTGATGCCCCGAGTCCGATGCGCAAGGTGTCTTCCAGTTATTCGTTGTTGTTGCCTTGTCATTCGCTTGCGTGTTGCATCTTGACATGTCATCATTGTTTGCATTGCATCATGCCTCTTGCCATTTTGCATTTCATCATAATCATCATGTGCATTGCATTCTTCATGATGTTGTCTTGATCTATTCTTGTCGTTTATATCAACCCCTTCCCATCTCTCTCAAATCTACCCATGTATCATCACCGCCTTCTTCCTTCTTATTCCTTTCATTTTTGCAAGTGCCATTTTCTGTCGTCCATAAATGTTCATTCTTTTCCTATAAACCATACACCTTTCCTTTAACCCCTCTGTCAAATTTCAGATCATTTGAAGTTGTTTTGGTTGGGTTCAAAAATGGTTCAAGTTTGGATTTTAATTCAAACTTGAATTATTTTTATGTCCTTAAAAATTCCCAAACCACTTTTATTAAATCGGGCATATTTCATGGTTTCCAGAAATATGTCCCTCTCTCCTCACATCCATTCCAAACCCTCTGTACTTTCTTTCTGTTTATATTTATGCAATAAATAGAAAAGAGAAAAGGTAAATCAGAAAGGAGAGAGAGGAGGAAGCCCAGTCGGCTCCTTGGGAAGCCCAGCAAGGCCGGCCCAACCATCCCCTAGAGGCCATCCAACCTCCTCTAACCCAAGCCCGATCCCCATCTCTCGCTCTTCTCTCGGTCTCCACCCTCTCTCCCATCGATCTCTCCCTCCTGCGCCGCCACACCCACGCAGAGAGAGGGCAGGGCCTTCAGCCCGACCCCTCGCTCAGCTTCTCTCGACCCCCCTCGTCCTTCCTCCAGCGCCGCCAGCGCCCCTCACCCTCCTCTCGACTCCCACTCGGTCACACGCGTGCATCGAGCCGAGGGAGAGGAGATCCTCATGCCCGATCCATGGCCTCCCTCTTCCTCTCGTCGCGTTTTCTCTTACTGCCGCCCCGTCTCACAGGTCTGTCGTCGTCGTCTTCGGCAGGAGCAGGAGCTCCCATGGACACCAGCCCCGCAGTACCAGGCTGGCCCGCCCCCGCCTTCGCGACCCCATGTCCTCCGCCTTCTTCCTCCTCGTAGGTCCTCCGCTGCTGCAGCACCTTCACCATCTCGCCAGCCGTCAGCCTCGAGCATGTCCGCGCCGCCTCCATCCAGACCCGACCGACCCTGCACCCCTGTCGGCCTCGCCGGAATTCGTCAAGTTCAGCGGCACATTGCACCTGCTTCACAGCGAGCCTCCGCTTGCGTTGACCTCCTGCCTCTGCCCTCGTTCGAGGAGATGACGACGGGCATCCCGTGCACCTCCACCTCGCCCTGCCATTGCTCCCTCCATGCTGCTGATCCGCGCCCCCCTTTTCGGGCATCACAAGCTCCAACCCCCCCTGCTGAACCGTCGGCCTTGCTGCCGCTCTAGTCGCTGCCAAGACCCGACAACCAGGGATGCTAAGAAACGTCTTCGTGGATTCGACAAGTACCTACACCGGCAAGACTACACGGACGTTCATTCCACTACAGCACTGAAACGTCAAGGTCGACTATGTTTTGTTGCCCCGCCCGGAATCGTCAAATACGCGAAGACCACATTGACACCAAATACATCTACCTCCGTCTTTGGAATCGCCAAGAACGCCAAGTACCTTTTCGAGTTGACGAGTCCGGCAAGTCCGAAGACCCTAGTTGCACCAAGTTCCACTACGATATGTACCACTACCGTCGTCGAAGACTCGTGTAACGCAAGCGTCAAGTTCCTCTATCGATGACTCGAACGGCTACGAAACATGTAACACTATCATTGACCCGCGAAGACCCCGTGGACGTTAAGTTCCGTGTCGTGACCCCGAACATCTACGGACATGAATGAGTACTCCCTCTTCGATCCGCGTGTACCACTTATTCCAGTACTTTTGCGAGAACGACTACTTCTTACGACCCGTGAAAGACTACTTATCCCACTACTTTTGCACCGGCATCTCAATTGAGTTACCGGAACTGATATGTTGTCGTGGCTTCATTTGTGGATTCGTCGCTATGGCACCCCTTTCGTTCCGCCATGGTGACTGAGGGAGTCCTCGACTAAGGGGTCCTCGGGCGTCCAGCCTGTTATCCATGGGCTGGACTGATGGGCTATGAAGACATGAAGGTCGAAGACTGCACCGTGTCCGGATTGGAGTCTACTTGGCGTGGAAGGCAAGATTGGCGACCGAAGACCCCTTCTCATGTAACCGACTCCATGTAAAACCTAGATCCCCTCGGTGTCTATATAAACCGAAGGGGGTAGTCCGGAAAGGACAACACATATACTCATTACCATACCCACATAGGCTAGACTTCTAGGGTTTAGCCATTACGATCTCGTGGTAGATCCACTCTTGCAACACTCATATTCATCAATATCAATCAAGAAGGACGTGGGGTTTTACCTCCATAGAGAGGGCCCGAACCTGGGTAAACATTGTGTCCCCCGTCTCATGTGACCATCGATCCAAGGTACACAGTTTGGGACCCCCTACTCGAGATCCGCCGGTGTCGACACCGACATTGGTGCTTTCATTGAGAGTTCCACTGTGCCCTCGATGAAAGGCTTGATGGCTCGCCTTGTCAATAAAGACAATATTACCGTAGGGGTAGTTTTGGCCTCGGGCCAAACTCTCCGGCTGGGCGACTTTACTATGATCGCCCGTTCGGTCGCAGGGCCGACGATGACCTCTCGGGCCATTGAAAATCCCCTTCGCATCAACTCTGAGCACTCCAAGCAGATGGATCCGGTTGAGTTTTCATCCTTAAACGAGCTCCTAGATCGCATTGCTGCTTTGGGAATCGCCACAGATTACGATCAGATCGGGCCTAAGACCGATCAGGGAGAAACCGAAATCCCACCGGTCACCCACCAGATCGCGGCAGTCCTGGAGCAGGATGGCGAGTCTTCTTCTATACTGAAGACGGACTATGTTCGGGTTACCATTCATGATGAGCCGGATACTCACCCATGAAAGGACGCAACCAGCCCTCCGAACATAGCATTGGACGGCGGTTCCAAACAATCAGAAGATATTCCGGAACCCGTACTCTCTAGTCTGGAAGGTCGTCGGACTCCGGACAACCGGTTAGGTCGGGGTTCGGATTTAATTCCACCCACCCACCCGGATATAGAGGCTTTCATGAGCATAAAACAGCAATCTCAGGATAAGGTCCACCACTTTTGGGCCAGATTCCTCCTTGTCAAGGACAAGGTAAAGGATTGTTGTGACAAGGACGCAATATCAATGTTCTGCAAAAACTGTGCAGACAAAGGAATCCTCAACACCATCAATCGCCGCCGCATACTAAAATTTGCTGACTTAGCAACCATCGTACAAAAATACTGCACGATGGAAAGCACTTGGGAAACTTGGGCAGCTCACTGGGAACCACCAGTCCCAACCCAACTTCCCCTATAAGCGAAAAGGGCATACCCTCATGGCTCGCCCAATCCAACAGTCATAAAACACAAAGCCACTACACGGCAAGGCACTGTTCTGGAAGGGTGGCTCGATGGCCCATGCAAAATACACACAACAGATACTGTGGCAACCCACAGCCTTAGAGCATGTTGGATACTACGATAGGTAGCCAAGAGGGGCGAGGACATCCTTATCAAGGACGCCCCAGAACAACACCCCCTAGAAGAAGACGACCCAAGAGTATCGACAGTCTTCGAGACATTCACTTCAAATAACAAGCACAAAAGGGCACTTCGCAAGCTCAACGAAGTCTGCCAAATTGTTGTAATAACCCCATGGAATGACACGGCTATAACATTCAACGCCGGTGACGAACCAAAATACAGAACAACACGGTCACCATCTGCGTTAGTCCTCGGCCCCATCGTGGATGGGTTCCGACTCACCAAGGTCCTCATGGACGGCGGCAGTGGATTAATCTCATTTATGAGGACACACTCCATAAAATGGAAATAAAGAGGAGTCACATCAAACAAAGGAACACAACCTTCCGGGGAATTATTCCTAGTCCGGACGCGCGGTGTGCGGGCAAAATCACACTTGACGTGGTATTCAGATCACCGGAGAACTATCGGTCCTAAGAAATAACCTTCCAGGTGGCCCCTTTCAGTAGCGGATATCACGCCCTGTTGGGGCGGGACACTTTTACATGCTTCCAAGCTATACCTCACTACGGATATATGAAGCTCAAAACGCCCGGACCAAATGGTATAATCACTCTCGTCAGTGATCCGGACATAGCACTCCGCACTGAAAACAAAACCGCATCCTTAGCCCCGGAGGCGCTATCCGAAGCCCTCGCGGTCGAAGAATTTCCCGCACTACGCTCCACAATGGACAGGGACATCGTGATCCTCGATAAACGCCCCAAATCCACCTCTTTCAAACCGGCAGAGGAAATAGTTAAATTCCAGGTCCACCCAATGGACCCCAAGAAGACAACATCCATCGGAGCTCAACTGAACCCAACAGTTGACACCGCACTACGAGAATTCCTGCGTGAAAACTGGGACATATTTTCCTGGCACCCTTCGGACATGCCAGGGATCCCGCGCAAGCTGGCCGAACATAGCCTCAATATGTTAAAGGGGTTTAAACCGGTTAAGCAAACACTCGGCGCTTTTCCTAACCCATGCGACAAACCATGGGGGAGGAGCTGGCCAAACTCATCGAGGCCGGATTCATTAGAGAAATTAAACATCCAGACTGGCTGGCAAACCTGGTGATGGTACCAAAGAAGGACAAATCCTGGCGCCTGTGCGTCGATTTCAAAGAGCTCAACAAAGCCTGCCCTAAGGATCCCTTCCCCCTCCCCCGCATTGATCAAATCATTGACGCCACCGCAGGACACGACTCACTGTGTTTCCTTGATGCATACTCTGGATACCATCAAATCAAAATGAAATAATCCAATCAAGCTGCAACATCATTCATCACCCCATATGGGCCATTCTACTTCAATACGATGCCCTTTGGGCTCAAGAACGCCGGCGCCACATATCAACGCAAGATTCAAACATGCCTGGAGAAACAGATTGGCAAAATAGTAGAAGCTTACGTTGATAAAGTCGTCATCAAAACCAGGCATGTGGTAACACTAATAGACGACTTACGTCTTACCTTCGACAACCTTAGGGCGTATGACATCAAGCTCAACCTGGAAAAGTGTGTCTTCGGCGTCCCCGTTGAAAAACTACTGAGCTTCATTGTCTCCAATAGAGGAATCGAAGCAAACCCAGCCAAAATCCGAGCTTTGTCACAATTGGCTAAGCCAACAGAACTTAAAAAAGTTCAATAACTTGCAGGTTGCGTGGCAGTTCTAAGCCGCTTTATCTGCAGGTTAGGAGAAAAGGCACTGCCACTCTATCGCCTTCGACGGTGAACCGACTAATTCGAGTGGACGGACGCGGCAACAGTTGGACTGGAAGAAATAAAAACCCTTCTAGCGAGCAATCCAATCCTGGCCGCACCAAACGCCAATGAACCGATGTTATTATACATATCGGCAACACATCAGGTGGTGAGCACCGTACTCGTTGTTGAACGAGAACAGGACGGACATAAATTCCCGCTTCAAAAGCTAGTATACTACGTGTCTACTATCCTTACACCATGCAAATCCTGGTATCCTCATTATCAAAAAATAGCAGACGCGGTCTTCATGGCATCCCGAAAGCTCCGTCACTACTTCCAGGAGTGTTCGATCACGGTGGCCTCGGAAGTACCACTCAACGACATTATAAACAACCGCGATGCTACGGGCCGGATTGCCAAATGGGCCATTGAACTCTTGCCATTCGACATCACATACAAACCACGTCGAGCTATCAAATCCCAAGTTCTGGTTGACTTCATCGCCGAATGAATAGAGGCCGAGCTCCCTAGAGAGTACGGCACATACTCCAATTGGGTCATGCACTTCGACGACTCCAAAATGCTGGCAGGGTTAGGAGCGGGTGTCGTTTTAACGTCCCCCACCGGAGACATCATCCAATATGTTCTACAAATATTATACACAGACTCCAATAACGCAGCCGAATATCAGGCCTTATTGCATGGTCTCCGGATGGTTGTCTCCATGGGCATACAATGCCTAGAAGTGCGCGGGGACTCAAACCTTGCAATATCTCAAATAACTGGAGATTTTGACGCTAATGATCCGAAGATGGCTTTGTATCGCAACGCAGTCATAAAAATGTTGGCCCGGTTCGAGGGGCTCGAGTTCCATCACATGACTCGAGAAAGTAATCAAGCGGCTGATGTTCTTGCTCGTATTGGCGCTAAGCGCGACCCCGTCCCATCGAATACCTTCCTAGACAGGCTCTTCAAGCCATCCGTGCTGTGGCGGGGCAAAAACGGGAACACTAGTCCGGACCCAAACATAACCCCAGATCCCGGAAACATCGACATAACACCATCGGCGCATCTCATCATGGCAGTCATTGCCTCATGGACCGAACCCTTCCTAGACTACCTTAATAGGAAGGAGCTTCCTGAGGACCAGAATGAGGCCCGTTGTATTGTCTGGCGTTCGAAGTCCTACAAGGTTCATGATGGAGAACTCTACAAGAAAAGTGCCACTGGAGTCCTTCAACGATGTATATCCGAGGAAGATGGGAGGCAGCTCTTGGCTGAAATTCATGCCGGACTTGGCGGTCACCACACCGCAGCTCTGGACCTTGTTAGCAATGCCTTCCGTACAGGGTTTTATTGGTCGACGGCCGGAGCGGATGCACATGACCTTGTCCAACATTGCGTCGGATGCCAACTCTTTGCCAATCAAAGCCATATGCCCCCCACTGCCCTACAAACAATCCCCATCACTTGGCCTTTCGCCGTGTGGGAACTCGACATGGTTGGACCCCTTAAAGGGGGAAGCCATAAGAAAACATATCTGCTGGTTATGGTGGACAAATTCATTAAGTGGATAGAGGCTAAACCAGTCAAAACGGATGAGTCCGGCCCGGTGATAGACTTCATATCCGATGTTGTGCACCGTTATGGTGTCCCACACAACGTCATCACTGACAACGGCTCCAATTTCACAGCCGA